AGATCACTTTCCCTGAACCTTTAATATCTGACCGATTCAATATTGAACCCTCCAGTTCATCACTGCACATGCCAAGGGTTATCCGGACCCCAGTCACAGAGTCCTCTTTGCTGTTGAGCAGATTACTTAGAACCCAGATCCCATCTGAGAGCCCATTTCTTTGTGTCACTCCTGGCACCAACTACCTTAGATCAGGTGTCCCAGGAAATGGACTCTGAAATGGAAATGCACATATGGAGGTTTATGGCTGAGTGCTGGTGGGAACCAGGACTGGGCAGAGGGAGATTGTGAATGTGATAGGGCTGTACCAGGGGCCTCAGCAGAGCCCAAGGAGGATCCTGGAGCCGAGTGGCTGGCTCTTCAGAGCAGTCCTGCCTTGGAGCAAGGGGGCCAGGCCTCTGCCCCCTTCAAAGCCTAGTCACTGCACGGGCTTTCCTGGGGTGAGGGACAGCTTTCGGTGAGGCAGTTCCTGGGGACAGACATAGCTGTGTACCATCAGGAGACAATAGCCCTAGTAGCTGGGGGAAGGAGGGCCTGGGACCTGGAAGGGGTACTGGATGGTGTACCACAGCATCCCTGACAGCACTGCATAAGGAGGCTGGGACGCATACCGAGAGACCGTAGGCCCTTCTGAATTTGGGGGTATGAGAGAACTGGTGGGAAGAGACTGGAGAGCAGCTCGCCTGAGACAGGTAGAGACAGGCCAGATGATGAGGACTTGAATGCCAGGACAAGGATATAAGGTTTGTCTCTCCCACAAAGGTTTTGTGAAAGATTATTCTGGGATTGTAAGGAAAACTGTGCAGCCCTGAAGGGGTCCTCATCTCCATAGTGTCCCTTTGGCTGCCTCCCCTGCAGACTTCTCTTAACTCGCTTGCTCTGGCCAACTCACACACACCACTGCCCCTTCCCCCGAATCAGCTCCCTTCAAATTGTCACTCCCCACAGTGCAGCATTCATGCGTCAGTTCTAAATAGTCCCACTGTTCAGCTTTAATGAGAAGTAATACCAATTCCCATGTTTGCTCAGAGAACACCATATTTCATCAAACCAGAGCCCATGCCGGCTCAGATTACTGACCGAGACAATGTTCTGTAATCTTGGTTTATTCACATGTCACGGGTATTTTAGCAAAACAGAAATGAATGGCCCGAGCCACCCTAGGAAGTAATGGGAGAATTGGGTTCCCGCCCAAGGGAAGCCATGCTTTCTCCTGCCACAGTTCCGTGGAGGGGCTGACTTTGATTCTCTTGAGTTTTTCCCAACTTTAAGAAAGAGAATATGGGCTGAGGAGGAGTCACAAAGTGCGTAGTTATTTCCCTATAAAATGTTAACTCCACGGATGGATTTTGCCAGAGCAAAAATAAAATCTGTCATTGATTATAAAGTCCTTTGTGCTTGTTATTTTACAGATTTATTACACTCTAGCCTGGCAGCCTGGGGAGGCCCTGGGATTCTTGTCTCCATCGCCCCTGCAAACCCTCCAGCCACTTTTTCACAGCTCAGACCCCAAACGGGAACAGGGACTTGCTCACATTTCTTTTGTCCTTAAGGGCCAAGAGCTTTGGAAATCTAAATGAAGAGCAGTGAATCCCAATCTTTGCACAGGGACCCACAGATACTGATAATGAAGTCTCATCGGTAGAGATCTCTGACTCCCTACTCGAGGAAACATTCTCTTTCCTTTGCCTTTTCTTTTCAGTTCTTGGCACTGTGTGCTAAGAAGTGCATTTCCTCTGCAGAGCAAGGACAGCCGAGCCAAGTCTCTAATCAAATCTTCTGGAGTCTGGGTCCACTTTAAATAAACTACAACCTCTTTTGAACGCCCAAGAAATAACAACAGCAGGAACAAGGATCGATCTTATTTAGTGCCATCCATCTCATGCTAAAACGTTGCTAATGATCCTCTTGATATCCTGCTCCTGTCCCCATTTCAGAGCTGAAGAAACCAAGTCCTAGAGGAGTCAAGCAACTTGCTGAAGGTCATAAGGCTGGCAGTCACACAAACCTAGTCCCAGCTGACTCCAAAGGGTCACAATGAACCTCTTATTTCCAAGACCAGGTTGACAAGAGGCCACAGCCCCAGGCACAGAGTGTTAGAGCTGAAACAGAGGCCAGGGGTCAGCTTTCTCATTTAACTAAGTTTCCAAAGAGGCCATGGGGCCAGCCCAGGGTGACAGAGCGAGTTAGAGCTGCAAACACTCTCCCATGAGTAAACTGGGCAATATCAGGAAACAACTGCTTAGGAACATTTCATGTAGTGGTCATTTGGGGAGAGGTTCCCAATGAAACCAAAGGAACTTGCTTCTCAGCACTGTCCAGAGTTTGGTTTCTTTTAACTCAGGCATAGAACTACATAACTACTGAGCCTCTTTACTCCTTCATCAGAGTTTTCTGAGTATAAGGAAAGCAGAGTGTGGGGCAGAGAGACTTAGAAGACTGAGGGCCCCCAAACAACCTCTCACCTCTTTGGAAGAGCACTCTTCATCTCTGTCAGCAAGTTCAAGACCTCAGTGCCCCCGGTAAGAACAGTGTACGATCCTACCAGGAGGCTGACAATTTTAGCAGGAAGTTGTCAAAAATCACAGCTCTTGGGACTTGAATCCACAGTCCATCCTCTCAACTCTTATTTTGAGCTGCATGCAGCCTGAGCTATTAGAAACAAAACCCTCTCATTGGCAAGCTCCACAATTAGCCTCATTTCCACACTAGAAACACTGTTCTACATGAGCTGAAATTGCACAGCGATTGTTTCTTGTCCTAGCAATGCTGTTTGCAGGCCATGCTGGGAGCCAGCGAGGATGTGACCCGGTGGTAATCTGAATTGCTTCACCAAACACATTTTTATCCCATCATCTCGGCTACATGAAAGGGGGCCATAGTGCTCCAGTGTTCAAGACTTTACAGTCCCGCTGTTCAGCAATAAAATGAGGCAAGAAATATTAGCCATCCCTGGCTGATGCCTTAATTCTTTCCCAACAATGTCAGAGGATCTGTACCCTACAGGTTTTAGTGCTGGCTAAGGCTTGACCCTCAGGCCTGCCTGAATGGAGGGGGAATGAGTTAAGGAGAGCAAGAAGGCTTTAATGGACACAGATCCCGAATAGCCCAGCTTGTCTCGGCCTCCTGCAGACTAACCCTCCTTTTCACAGACCTCGATTGTGTATGGCCCCAGCAGAGACAAAACTACCCATGAGCAGAGGTTACCCCCAGCCGGTATAGGTCAGAGGCATTCTGGGGGAGAACAGGAGGAGGGCGAGAGGGGAAGTGAGGGGCACACGGAGAAGGAGGGAAGTGGGGGTGGGGCAAGGGAGCAGTAAAAGGTGGTGCGGATCATTTATAAGGAGAGATTCATTCAGTCCATGGCTATGACTTGATCATCTCACCTCCAGGCAAACTGTTTTTGAAAACTGTTTCACACAACAAATGGTAACTACACTAACAGGAAGTTGAATGTGATGCAATCTAATTACCAAAATAAATTAAATGCTTCTCCATAGTTTTCCAAAATCTACAGGCCTGAGGTTCACAGACTGTCAATAGGATGGCCTCTAATTTGACACTGCAAGATTTTTTAAAAATTACAAATGGGTAGTGTTTTACACACCATAGGAAGTTTTTGCAGCAATTTTTCAATTATTGCATTGTGAGCCCTCCAAGAAAAGTAACTATTTTGGCTCAAGGAACCCAAAGTTACCAAGTAAAGAGAACAGAGTGTTCACAAGTTTGCAAATAGTCCTCTGAAATGTAGCATAGACAGTCACCTGGACAGTTCAGGAAGAACATGAGTTTGAAGAGGTCCTTTCTGTCCCTCAGAAGGATTTGTAAATTTTGTGTGGCTATTGAACCCCTTTCCCAGTCTGATGAAGCCTGTGGACCCTTTCTTGAGAGAGTGTCTTTAATATGCAGCATTACAAAGATAGCTGATTATATTAAATTATAGTTATCAAAATATTCTTAAAATCAACTTTGTAGCATAATAATATATATGCTGTTTTTACTAATTCATTAAATAACTTACAGCTGACCTAACAGCTACTTTAATTTCAAAAGAGTGAGAAGCAAAAGTTATATTTTGAGAAATCTGAAACAGCTGTCATGTGATACGAAAATATATGTGGGCAGTGGCTATTGGTGACAAAATCACAGGTATGGTTAATACCACTGTGGTTGGCTGCCTGGGTTTCTAATATTAGGAAATGCTAAGTTTCGGTTTCAGGATCGTGAAAATAAGAATGTACTTCTCCTGCAAGCTCACAATTTCAAGCTCCCAAATTCTATCCACGGACAAGAACCCCTGTTAAAAGCAAGATGAAATTCAGAACGTCCTATGCCAGGGCTAAGTGGAGGGGTGGTGGGCCAGGGATTCACTACACCCTCACTTCATATGAAACCTTTTTGGGAAAGCCACTACTTTCATTCCTCCTATCCTTGGAAACGTTTTGTAAAGCAATTTGAAACCACATCCTTTTTCAGGACAGTCCTGATTGCTACATGTCCAAAGATTAATAAGGACCTTTGATTTGTTTCTTCAGCAACTGGAATCACTGTTGCCAAATACCGGGTTGGTTAATCGACTAATTCTGAATTTTAATCAGGATTTTGTTCCAGCTGCTCGGGGTTGGTTGAGCTTTGGAGTTAAGATTTCTCTTTTCAAAGGCAGCCCAGGGAGTATTCCCCCTACTCTCGCATTTTGGACACACACCAGCTCAGAGGCGCACACAGATCCTCTCGCGGTTCCTCACTGGGGAGCTGTCATCTTGCAGCCATAGTCAGGGCATGCCTTTGCTGGGGCAACCTGCAGGAGGGCCCCCCTTCAAAGGCCGCGCAGCGCCTCCCACCCCGACACCCCCGCCCCAGAAGCCCTGGCCCGGCTGTCACGGACACCCGCCCACGCCCACGCCCCCCGCACTCCCGGGCGCACACTCGGGCCCACACCTCTGCGCGCGCGCGCCTCCATACACGGGCGCACGCACACCGCAGCCGGGCCGGGGACCGCTGTGTCGGCGGCAGCCCAGAGTGGTCCCGGGCGCTGAGCCTGGTCCCCCGAGGGCGCCGCCGGCCGCCCCGCCCCGCCCCGCCCCTCGAACCCGCGTAGCCGGGTGCGGCGTGGGCTGCCAAGTTTCGCGGCGCGTGTCGATTGAGGCACCGCGTTGACTCGGGCTTGGTTTGGCTGCACGCGGCTCTGGACGGCGGTGACGGCTGACCGGGAACTCGGGTTGCGCCGACCCACCGTGCTCTTGGCTGCGCGATCCGCGCGGGTCTCAGCACCCAGCTCCCCGGTTGCCCGGCTGCCCGCGCGCCCTCCAGTCGCAGGGTGGGTCCGCAGCCGCCGGTGCGCCCGCGCTCTGTCTCTCCCTCCCCGCGCCGACCCTTCGCCGCCGCCGCCCACCATGGCCTGTAGCCCTGCTCGGACGAGCGCAGGACGGGGTCCCCGGCTGCTGCCTCTGCTGGCGCTGCTTCTGGTGCTGCTCCGGGACGCCGGCTGCGGCTACTCGGCACCAGCGCGGTCTAACCAGCCCGCGGCCGCCGACGGCCCAGCGGGGATCGAGGACCCCCAGCGGTCCTTGGAGGATGTGGCCGCTGCCCCGGGCGCTGGCGCCCAAGACATGGTCACTATGCACATGCTCCGGCTTTATGAGAAATACAGCCGGAGGGGCGCGCGGCCGGGAGGGGGCAACACGGTCCGCAGCTTCCGCGCTCAACTAGGTAAGTGGAGGAGACCTCAGGGGTTCCTTCTCCTCATTCTCCCCCTTTCTCACTTGTTCATCCTCTCACCTCTACACCTCCACTTTTCCTCCGTCTATTAATGACTCATTCATTCATTCTTTCATCACCTATTCACCCAGAACTCCACGCCAGGCCCTGAGCCTCCAGTAGGGACAAAGAAGTGGCACGGAGTGACAGAGGTCCTGCTCCTAAGGTGTTGCCAAGCCTGGGAGGGTGTCACACTTTCTGCACACAGAGCACCCCATATGCAGGGATGGAGTGCACAGGATGGAAATGGGACTGGGCTGGGAGTTTGTGGGAGGGGTATCCATGTCATGGCTCAGTTGTGTTGGCTCTGGGCAGATAAGCAGGGCACTGAGAAGGCATGGCCTGGTGGGCATAAGGCTGCCCTGAGAAAAGTGCCAGGCACTGGGCCCAGGCAGGGGGTCTGAACATCTAGATGGGGGTAGTGAGTGGGTTCAGTGGCTAAGAAGCAGAGTAGATTGACTGAGACGGGCCTTGGATGCGCAGACTTGGATTCTCAGGACTAAAGCCTGCTGAGCACTGACACGCAGTGTTCAGACTACGGCAGCTTGAGGAGGAAGGGTCCGGAGGCTTGGACAGGTGAGGCACCCTGCTGCCCTCCGGCCCTTGCCCCACCTGGGCCCATCCTTTCCCTTCTCCTCACACCTTGGATGGAGCTGGATGGAGGCCACTAGCAGAGCCCTCCCTGCCCTGCTCTCAAAAGCACTTCCAGACTCCAGCACCAGCTGATACCCTTGTCTGGGCTGGGTTATCTCTGTAGGCCCCAGGGGAGCAGAGAGGAGATGCAGCCTGGGGGCAGGAGTTGTGGGAAGATCCTGGTTGTCATGGAGACTACTCACTGTCTCTGCAGCAAGATAACCTGGGGTCAGATCTGCTGCCTGTTGATCACTGGATGTTTGACTCTAAGTAACATCTGTGGCCTCAAGGCCAGACACAGGAAACTTAGCCTTGCATAAAGGTGTTTTGGGAAGCACCTGCCGCAGATAGGCCCCAGCCATCCCTTACCCCCATCCTCTACTGAGCCAACTCACTTGTCAGTGTTTCAAGGCTCCAGGCCAGCCAGATCTAACTCCATCCTCCTGGTATCTTTTATTCACTTCTTGGGAGGCATTTCTGGAGCATCATTATTAAATTAAGCTGCTCAGGAATCATCTAGCATGAATATGTGTCCTTGGACGAATCACTAAAGCTCTTTGGACTTTAGTGTACTTATCTACAAAATGGGCAGGTCATGTCAGCATCATCCCTGTGGGGTTGTAGGAGAGATGAGATGAGGCACTATGTGTAAGCCCTGAGCCCAGCTCTGGCCAAATTGGGTGTTGATGCATAGTGCTCTCCTGGGAGTACAAAGTGTTTGTGTTCCTAGCGGTGTAAACTTGACCTTGCATCCATTAACTCAGTCCTCAAAGCCTTGCAGATGAGGAAACCAAGGCCAGCAAGGTCACTTGCAACATGTGAAGAGCCCACCGCCTTGCTGCAGCCCCAGGCATGGAACTGTTCTTCCGTTTTCACAAATGTGAATGAGTAACTGTGAAGCCCGGGATGGGAGCCTGAAAAGAACCTGGAGACAGTACTTCAAATCCAGCCCACCCATTTTACCAATATGGAAATTGACAAGAGGGTGGGGGGCTGTTCACGGCAGCAATGGATGGCACCTGTCATCTGCCAGGCCAATGGCTCTCACAGCTATCCCCTTCCCCATCTCCATCAGAACTAAGCCCAGAACTGAGGAGTCCCAGATGTGAGGAGGTGTGAGCTTGGGCCCCTCATCTTGTGGATGAGGCACAAATATGGGGAGCTTTCAGTGGCACTGGAACATTCCATTGCAGCCTGGTCTGTGCAGTGGCCTTTGCTGCTCCAGCAGGGTAGTCCCTGCAGCCCTTGTTGGGCGGGAACCATGTTCCCCGCCTGTCCCAGGCAGTACAGCTCAGGTCCCCAGTGTGGGCCTGTGAACAGGACTAAGGAAGTCGAAGTCGTGAGTTTGTGACTTGGACAAGGACTGAAACTGTCCATGACTTACTTCATTCGCTTCTAAAATGGGTGAATAATGCTCCCTTCCTTACAGGGATTATTAAATGAACTGAGATATGTCAAGTGCTTAAAACAGTGCCTGGCACATGTAAGTGTCAATAACTTATAAATTCCTACTATTACTCCAGCCACCCCTCTGTCCCTCCCTCCCTTCCATTGCTCCCTGAAGTGTGTTTTGTTCCCTATTACATCTACATTACTGGAGAGTTTCTGAGCCTGACCCTAAGGATTAAGGTTAGATATTCCCCTGCCCAAAATAACCTGTGTTTAAATCTAAGCTTTTATACCTACCCATGTAATATTGGATAAATTACTTAATCTCTCTGGGCTTGATTTCTTCATCTCTAAAATGAGAGTAATAACATATACCCATCTGTCAACAATGCCAAAAGTCATGTTCATTTTAGTTCCTTAAGTCTTTCTTAAGCACCTCATTAGGTGGAAGGTGCTCAGAGGATGCAGAAATGCGCAGACTATTGGCCCTACCCAGAAAAATTCATGAGCTTGTGGGGAGGGGCCAGCGAAGCCATCACAGGGCAGGTGAGGCCCAGACAGACTCTGAAAGGCAAGTGTTGTTTTAGCCAGGTGTAGAAGTGGACCGTCCACTGCCTGCCAGACCCACTGAGGAATTTGGTTTCAGTGAAGAGAGAGGCAAAAGACAGAGGCAGCCTCGTGGGCCACAGCTGGGCTATCAAGAGCCTTGATTGTCGTGAGTTTGCCTGTAGGCAGCCGGACAATATACAGTGTGCATACAGTGGGGAGGGGTGGCAGAGGAAGGAGGAGGGAGAAAGAGTCAGCAGGTGGGGAGAGAGGAGAGAGAACAGAGAGATTATAAAAGCAGTGCATACTTACCTGGAAATAATAGAAAATCACAGTAAATCATCCCTAATCACAAACTCAGGCATAACCATAGTTAATTTTTTGGAGGAATATACATATACTTATGTATTTTTTTATATCCTAATAGGATCATATTGTTAATATGCAAGTAAAACTTGGTACATCCTCATTTGAAATCAATTTATTTTTTCATTACTGGTCACCATGAACTGATTTTCATGCCTGTCATTTGCAGTTTTTCCTGTGGAAATGGCTTCCCCCTTTGGGGTTCTTGTCTTTGTCTTACTGATTTGTGGAGGGTTTTTTATATATATATTAAAGACTCTTACTATAACTCTTCATCTAGAATAACAATTCATCTATAATGGATGATTTCCTTATAAAACCCGAGTGTGCTGTGAGGAGTGACAGTCATCTAGGGTCACGGCAGTTGTGATCAGGCCATGACAGAAGACTGTAGAAGGTTGCTGAGTTCAGGATGGTTGTGGAGAAACAGGATGCAAAGCCAGTAGGAACTGGGGTTGGTGGAATGCAGGAGGGGATACAATGAGGATTTTCTGGCTCCTGCTGGAGGACAGGTGGTATGCCTCCCCTGGGCACAAGGACAGGAGCAAAGGCAAGGTGCTCTGCATGCAGCAGGAGCTCAAGATGCCACCCAGCCAGTATGTTCCAAGTGTGTGCTGGCTGCCAGGCACCATGCCTTTAACTCTGCACAGATGATCTTACAACTTCAGGTGACATGGACAAATATTCTGCCCAGTTTACAGATGAAGCTCAGACAGGTTCCATGACTGCATGTGCACTTGCTGGCCCATCGCTCCGTTCCTCCAGTTTATGTTGATGTTTGCATCTTCAGCACTGCGTTCTCTCTCTGATGGCCAGAGAGAGCAGTGGGTGAAGGGGCAAATCCCTAGATGCTTGGGTTCTGTTCCCATAGAGCAAGCAGGTCCTCTTGGCCTGAGGGGTGGTGCCTAAGGGAACCCTTGGGTTAGGGCCACCTCATCCCCTCCAGCCCCATCCTTACTGTCCTTAGGAAGCAGTATGAGTACCCAAAAAGGAGACCTGGTTAGGGGTCTGAGACTCCCAAGACCCACAGAGATCAGCATGTCTAAATAAGGCCAGTCTGTTCTTGGAGAGTCAGGATGCAAAAATATCCAAATAATGATTTGTGTTTGCAAAACACTTTGCAAATCACAGCACATGATCTTTCCTACATTCACTGTTAGGTAGATCACAATTCACCACTGTTAGGTAGGGAGCAGAAGGACATGGGTTTGGGGTCAGACAGGCCTGGATGCACACCCCGCCTCTGGCCCCCTACCAGCGGGGTGACTTTAGGTAAGTTAGGTGCCCTCACCAAAGCCCCATCTTTTTGTCCATAGAATGAATGACCCATCCCTACCCCCCAGCTGTGACAATAAGGAATGAAGCGTGCATGTATGCTTGGAGCTTGGAGTTCCATACCTAGTGAACAAAATTATTTCTATCTTGAAGATGACAACACTGAGGCTCAAGGGGGTGTAACTGGCCAAAGATCCTGCCTTCCAGTGTCTCAGTTGGATTTGCATCATTAGCTGTATCTTTCCAAAGAATGAGCCTTTCTGAACTTGTTTCATGATGTGTTCGCTGAGCCTCAGGGCAGCGGGCCAGACCCCATTTTGTTCACTGAATTGGACAGATCTAGTGAAACCCGTTCTTCCCCAGCATTCATCACTTACTTTGAAGCACTGACTCTCACTTGGGCCTTGTGCTAAGATCTTGGGAGGCAGCAGCACACAAAGCCAGCACAGTGCTACTCTCCTGTGTTCCAGGAGAAAAGAGAACCAGTAACAAAGAAACATATATCAGAATGTCAGGTAGGGCATGAAGCAGATGAAGCAGTGGACAGCTAGCGATGGGGCTGCCCTTCGAGCCACAGGCACCAAGGGTATCCTTTATTGGAGAATCCCTGGAGCAGAGACTGGGAGGAGAGGGGTGGCATCTGGAGGACGAGTGATGGCTGAGGCAGAAGGAAGAGCTGCGACAGACAGAGCCTGAGATGGGAAGCTTTGTGTTGAAAGGACAGGAAGGCCAAGGTGACAGGGGCAGAGGTGGGGGTGGGAGTAGCAGATGGAGTTGGGGAGGAAGGCCAGCCAGATCCAGTGGGGCCTCTAGAAGGGGTCAAGTTTTATTTGGGGGGCAATGGAGGGTGCTGAGCAGGGTGGTGACCTGTGAGTGAATGTACCCAGTACACTGGGGCCTCACTTGGCCAGCCCTCTGTCAAGCTGTGTGCAGATGGCATCACCACAACCACCTGTCTGACTCATCCCTGAGCTGAGCTCCTCTAGGGCACCTTTGCTAAGACCCTGGTCAGCCCAATACTTAACTCAGAGTAGGATTTGCCCAAATATATATTGGGAAAGGAAGGGAGGGAAGATAGAAAGGAAGAGAAGAAAGGAAAGAGGAAGTGAAGAAAAAGAGGGAGGGAGGGAGGGAGGATGTTTTCTTGTTGACCATGAGCCACAGGCCCCAGCACAGTTCACAGGAAATAGGGACTTCTCTTTGGGATTTCTCCTTTGAGGCCTGGCCTCATCAAGCAGGGAGGCTTCATATAAGTACCTTTACTCTTGGCCACAGCCTGGAGCCCCACTCATTGCATGCATGCCAGCACAGTGAGAGAGGAGGGCCAGCCTGTGACCCTTCACGTGCTGGGGATGGTGTTGGTCCATCTCAGCAGTCAGCTGCAGGAGGGTCTTAATGCAGCAGGCTGCCTAGTGAGGGGCGAGCTCCCTATGGCCACAGGCGGTGAAGCCAAACAGGAAAGACCCCTGCCCTGAGTGGGATTGATGGGACCTCAAGGCCCCCTCCCCTGTGAGTCTTTGAGTAATCTCTCTGTGGCTCTCCATCCCCAGGGAGGGGCAGCATTTGCTATCCCCTTCCTGTGTCCTATGTAGAAATGACCATCAGGAAAGCAGTCCCATCTACAGGACATCTTGCCCCATGGGGAGCAGGCTTCTCAGGGCCTTCCTTGGGCCACCTTCACCTCAGGCCAAAGCTGCTGTGTCTTCCATGGTGTTCACAGTTGTCCACTATGACCCCTCTTGTCCTTTGCCTCCTCACTGGAGGAGAGGCTGGGGTGCCACATATCTGTCCCCCTAGTCTGAATTTTCCTCCTCACCTAGAATGGTGGGTTTCTAGGCCAGGGATGCCTGTATCCTGCTGTCCTGGGCCAGCTCTTTGTAAAGAGCCAGAGATGTCTGTCCTAGAGCCTCTAAAGTGTTTTGTTGCAAAAGTCCTCTTAGGAGAAATGAAGTTAAGATTTGAACTGGATAAAACAGTTGATCTGCCTTGTTAACTGGGTCACAACTCCAGCATTTGGATCACTGAGTGGAAGGTGTCTGTGTTGATGTAGAAGAACCCTGCTCCATCTGCCAGCCTTGGTCCTGTAAATGAAAGTAGCAAGGAGCCACCTGGGGGCTCCTCCCTTGTGCCTGGCACACTGCATGTGCTGTTTATTCAATCCTCCAAACAGTCATATGAGACAGACATCCTATTGTACCTCTGAGGTAGATGAACTTGGTATGGTCCCGCTGGGGCCAGGAGCCTGGTTTCCAGGGCCTTTTCTAGCTTGGGAAGTGGGTGGCTGTATAGTTGGTAAACTTTTGCCCCATCTGCACATCAACCGCAGATGACACAGCCACTGCCCACTGCCAAACTTGCCTGATACTGAGAATCCCCCGGGATGGTGGTAAAATAGGAATTCCTGGGCCCCAGTGCCCCAGACCCTCTGAATCATCATCTCCACAGGAGGAAGGCAGTGATCAGGAAGTTTGGGAAACACAGGACTCAAGATCATGGCACTCTAGGCTACAGTGTTTGAGGAAGCCAAGTTCAAGTGGTCATAAAGACTGCACTGTTCCTTATGTATGGAGCCTGTTGGGGGCCACCACACCTCTCTTGCAGGTTTCTTCTGAGGATCAGGGTCTTCAGAGTGCCACCTAAGCTGTGACTGGCATTGATCAGGCCCTTCATAGAGGTACTTTTCCCTTCCTTCCTTTCTCAAAGTCCCTTAAGAATATCTGACAATTCCCAGTAGAATTATGCCTCTTTCCCAATGGAAACAAATAATCTTAAACTGAATATTTTGGTTTAAAAAAATCCCAGCTGATCCTGTGAGTACAGGTGTCAGGGAAGCTGTGGTCCTGACCACATGTCCTTTGGAGAGCCCAGCATCCCCACACATATACTCACTCCCACCCTTGGGCGCACTGCCCCTCTCACAGCTCTACCCAGCAGACACATGCCCAGCAGCAGGGGACAGAGCAGTGGGAGGGGCAGCTCTGGTCCCCTGTTAGTCAGCAACACAGCAAGGAGGCCTTGGGAACAACAACCCCTTCCTATCCAAATGCTAGAATTCCATTCAGAGAATTCATGCTGCCAGGGCTCAAGGCAGTGTCCTGGGCTGCTGATGAGAATGCTCTGCCCTGTGACCTAGCTACCTGGTAGGACCAAGTGGAAAGGAAGGGCCGGTTGACAGGGCAGGGATGCTGGGGCCAGAACACATGCTGCAGATGTGATGCTTGAGCCATCCCAATCCTTACCATTGTTTGGGCCTTCAGAGAGCAAGCTGGACTTGGGAGATTCTATTAAAGACCTTATGCAACCCTGATACTGTTCTTTTTTGAAAAACAAGCTTAAAAGCCCCCAGGCTAAACAAGAGCAAATGCCCAAATGGTGGTGCTCTTAAGCCCAGTTTCCCTCAGAAGGCACTTGAATGCAGGAAGAGAGTACGAGGCGTTCTGCTTCACTCGCTGCATTCAGAAGGATGACTGCATGTAATATCTGTAGAATGGAAGGCTGTTCAAACATAGGAGGGGTGGCTGGCAGCACAGCTGGGACCCAACCTGAGCCATCCTGAGCACCTGATTCCCCCTCATCTCCTGAATGACATATCGGTGACATTGGCCCATTGGTTCGTTGAGTGGCACTGGAGTGCAGGGAGAGGAAACAGATGCATGAAGGCCTAGCAGGCCTGAGCATCTACCCTCTCTGCTACCTTCTCTTTTTTGGGATATTGACAATCCCCAACCTCCGACCTCACTTCCTTTGAGGATAACAAAGGGTGCCCTCACCATTTTGCCATGGGAATTACAGAGATGAGGAAGGTCTGACTGACCTGGAGATGCTCCGTAAATGGGAGTTCTTCCTCCATCCCAGCCTGGGTGGGGGATCCTGTGAGCAAGGGGGTCTATGCAGGCAAGACCCTAATAGGCTGTGGTCTGTCCTTCCCTTGTAGAAGTGGTCGACCAGAAGATTGTGTATTTCTTCAACCTGACTTCCATGCAGGACTCAGAAATGATCCTCACAGCCACATTCCACTTCTACTCCGAGCCTTGGTGGCCCAGAGCGTGGGAGGCACCGTGCAAGCAGCAGGCCAAGAATGGGTCCTGCCGCCTGCTGCCCCTGGACCCTCCTACACGCCAGCACCTGCTCTTCCGAAGCCTCTCGCAGAACACAGCCACCCAGGGGCTGCTCCGCGGGACCATGGCGCTGGCACCCCCACCACGGGGCCTGTGGCAGGCCAAGGACATCTCCCCTATCATCAAGGCAGCCCGCCGGGATGGTGAGCTGCTCCTCTCCACCCAGCTGGATTCTGGAGAGAAGGCCCCAGGGATGCCCAGGCCCAGCCCCCACACACCCTACATCCTCATCTATGCCAACGACCTGGCCATCTCAGAACCCAATAGTGTGGCAGTGACACTGCAGAGATATGACCCCTTTCAGGCTGGAGACCCAGAGCCTGGGGCAGCCCCCAACAGCTCTGCAGACCCCCGTGTGCGCCGGGCCACGCAGGCCACTGGGCCCCTCCAGGACAACGAGCTGCCAGGGCTGGATGAGAGGCCAGCACATGCCCCCCCTGCCCAGCACTACCATAAGCACGAAATGTGGCCTAGCCCCTTCCGAGCCCTGAAGCCCCGGGCAGGGCGCAAAGACCGCAGGAAGAAGGGCCAGGATGTGTTTATGGTCGCCTCACAGATGCTAGACTTTGATGAGAAGACAATGCAGAAAGCCCGGAGGAAGCAGTGGGACGAGCCAAGGGTCTGCTCTCGGAGGTACCTGAAGGTGGACTTCGCAGACGTCGGGTGGAACGAATGGATCATCTTGCCCAAATCCTTTGATGCCTACTACTGCGCGGGAGCCTGCGAGTTCCCCATGCCCAAGGTAGGTGACTGAGCAGCACGGCTGCTACCCTCTGTTTCCTGTCTGTAAAATAGGGATAGTAACACCTCCCACCTCTTCAAGGCAGGGAATAGGCATGCTGAGGTCCTGAAGTAGCAGCAGCCTGCTGGGTGACTACAGCCCACAGACGGATGTGGTTTGTCTGTGCTTTTGAAGTGTTAACTTGGTTGAATATGAATTTCAAATTAGAACACTTCTTTTGAAAAGCAGGAGAATCCACCTCCTTAGGTGTGTTCCCACATAGCAACAGCCTACAGAAGTTGAGTCAACACTGCCCCCTGTAGACAGAACTGGTCTCTGAAACCCCCTCCTCACCAAGGCTCTTGTTTCTGTTCCTGGCCTGGATCTCAGGGTACTGGTGTCTGTGCCCAGCACAGAGTTGGCCTCAGTGGCTTCCCAGTGTGGACTCCAGCCCCACTCCAACTCAGGGGCAGGGACCCACGGGACAACTAACTATCATGGTGCACGCATGTGCGAGACACAGTGTCTGGCTTTTATCCATTGTGCTGGCCTGGGTTTTCAGATTCTTACCATTGCTCCAGGCTGAGTAATGGCTCTGTCCATCCATCTCATGGCCTGAGCTGTGGTGGGCTGGCTGCCAGCTTATGTCGGCCCTCAGCTCAGAGCATATACTTTTCTCCTGCTTGCTCCTCTGCTGAGTTCCAGGTCAAGCCTTCCCCTCCAAGTAAGGAAGTCATGCACAAATCCAATTTGAACGTAAATAAATCAGCCAGCTGGGAAATCCCAGACCCAGACGTGGGGCAGCATTAACCTGTTTGGGAATTAAGGGGCTTCTCCTCAAAGCCATGCATGTGCAAGAGAGAGGAAGGGAGGTGCCTGACAGAGAGACGGGTATCTGTTGGGAGGATCTCGCACAGGCCTGCAGCAGATGCAGAAGCAGACACAGATGTGGGATGAGTACTCAGCAGGCTCCAGCTGGCTGACCCAGCACTTACCTTATCAGCCTGGCTGGCTGCCTTGCCACCTTCCCTCACACCGGCCTGAACTTGCAAATCAGGTGTCCCTGCCTCACTGTCCTGCCAACCTCCCCACACAAGGCGCTCTTCTCAGCAGTGCGCTGTAGCACGGTACATAAAACTCTTTTTGGTCAGCGGTGAGTTGATACGTGTGTGGCTTAATCCTGTTCATCTTGTAGGTGCTTACAAACTAATGGATATGAGAGGCTGCCTGGGGAGGGGAAGAGACGCCTGGTGGCCCCAGCAAATGTGGTTTCCAAACCCAGCTACTTTCTAACTGAGGGACTTTGGTCAAGTTACTAAGTCGTTGTAAGCCTCAGTTTCTTCACCAGTAAAATTAAGGTAATCCCCACCCCATAAAACTGACACAATGACAAAATGGGCTGATCAGGGGAGCAGCACCTGACACCAGGAGTCAGACCGGCTGGGGAGATGTCAGTGTCCGGCCTCATCCTGCTGATTGCACCCACACACAGGCCTCCCCTCCAGTGCTAAGAATGTGCTCACACAGGAAGCATGTCTGTATTCAGACTGTGAAATATGGGCAGCTGTGGCCGCAGGCCAAGCCAAACCAGGTGGGCATCACCCTTGGCTTTCCTGCTGGACAGTTCCTGCCCAGTTCCAGGGACTTCTCCCATGTGGGTGATGCACAGGTGCCCCCAAGTGGCCAGTACCATGTAAGGGATGTGACTGTCCTCTGGGAGGCCCAAGGGGCAGGAAGGCCTGAAGCAAACCTTCCTGAGACTCAGTCTATAGCTAACTTTGAAGGAAGTATGTAACCAGCCCTGGGACCTCACCTTTTCTGCTAGGCTGATGCCTTTTCCATGGCCTCAGGCAAGTCTGTGCCGACAACGTGGTGGGTGGGAGGGCAGAGCACTGAGGTAACCATGCCTCCTCCCCTCCTTGCAGATTGTCCGTCCTTCCAACCACGCCACCATCCAGAGCATCGTCAGGGCTGTGGGCATAGTCCCAGGCATCCCAGAACCCTGCTGTGTTCCAGACAAGATGAACTCTCTGGGAGTTCTCTTCCTGGATGAGAACCGGAATGTGGTTCTGAAAGTGTACCCCAACATGTCTGTGGAGACCTGTGCCTGCCGGTAAGACCAGTGTCTCCAGGATGGGTGGACACCTCCGCCTCACCCTATGCCCAGGAGGGCAGCATCCTTGGAAACTTTTGGAGCAAGGGCTTGATTTGGGGTGCAGCTGCAAACATAGGGCAGAGCTTATAGGCAACCTTGTTGGGTCCCAGAGAGATCTGTCCCCTGGGGCATCATTCTGGAGTCTTGTATTGCTAGTGACTTAGTTCCCAAAATGACAGTCTGCATCCCCAAAAAGAATCTGGGAATTGGCCCTGGCTTGAAGACTGCTCACCCACCATCCATCCCATCTGCTCAGAAGGACTGAAAACCGAACATGTCTAAAATGATGGCTTTTCATGATCATCTCATAACCTGGGAAGAAGACTGTAAGCCTGAGGGTACTCACTCCTTTCACATGGAAAGAACCTCTGTTCAAATGATCAGTTTAAACACTCTGAGCCACATTGATACTGGGAACCAGGAACTAAATAATTGTATAAGTGGCTGTTGTCTTTCAAACTCAAGCAAAAAAAGTTTTTATGCATATACTATGCACATGTAACCAAGTTTGGTTTCTTTTCTTTAATATGTATTTTATTTTAAAAGAAAAAGGAGGGAGTTGACACCATTCCCCACAGAGGTAATCATGCTGGTTAAGTGTGCATTGTTTAAACATGCTTATTGAAATAACACATACAGTCATATGTTGGAATACTAAAAAATAACCAAGATTTTTATATTTTTGTAAATTATACTTTCTATATTGTAGATTGTGTATGTTATATGTTCTTATGGGAAGCTAATAAATTAAAGGTACTGTGGTATCTTGAAAAACTGATTGTCATCCATTCCAAAATATCAATGAATCCCCATCTATAAATACGATATCTGGGTGGCTGCTGGGGACACAGCCTCCTTTGGGACCCGAGGCCACCCTAGGCCACCTCCACACATCAGGCACTCCTGTGCCTTCCAGGGTCCTACCCACCCATTTTTCCCTGCAGGTTCCCACCCAAGACATGGACCCAAGCAGGCATGGTGGCCTTGAGCTTCCTTGCATCCTTAGCCTCAGAGGGGATCAGTGATTAGGAGACGTCTGAGACATTTTAATATCTATGATTGCCTGGTCAGAGATATTTTACATGGGGTAGTTCCAGCAAAAGACTCAACAGAAGCAGTGAGGGGTTTTTCTTGAGGTCTAGAGGCTCCTGAAAGACTGGAATGTCTGCATCTCCCTGTGCATGTTTGGAGAATGGCCACCCTGCTTCCTCATCAGCAGCCCTGTCCCAAAATAGCCTCCCCTGAATGGCTCCCTTATCCTTGAGCTGACATTACCTTACAGCTATAGTGCTTAAAGCTAACTGACAGCATTTCCTAAGGAGAATCTGGGTCCAATTGGGGACAGATAAGTAATAGTCCCTTGGCTGAGACCCAAGAGGTGACATGGTCTCCAGTCTTAGTTGGAGAGGATTGAGAAGCCACGAGCAATCCTCCAAAAAGGAACTTAGGAGAAAAGAAGCCCATGGAGTCTGTTGTGGGTTGGGCTCCTGAGACCAGGGTTCCTGGGCAAGGGACATATGAGGAAGTAGTCGCAGGAGAAGCAGGTAAGGAGGGGATAAAACAGGACAGGAAAGCAGGAAGCCAAGCATCGCAGATCCCAGATCCTGTGGGGAGCTCTGGAGATTAATTACACCTCAGGTTTGTCTGGCTGTGAGGCAAGGAGCTGGTGTTCAGACTCTCTCTGCAGGCTGGCCCCAGGGAGATGGAAACTCACAGCATGCTGGCCCTCTGCACAGGCAGTCATGTCTCCACAAGCCCAGGCAGCCTCTGAGGAAGGCTACAGTGGCAGTTACTGGGTGCAAAGCACCAACATGGGAGGAAGAGCCCAGGACAGGTAAGCAAGGGGTTCTGAGGCACTGGGGGCTTGGGGAGGGGAGCCCAGGAGTATCTGGGCAGTATCTCCTCAGAGGTGTTCCAAATGTCCTGGGACACGTGTGTGAACAGCTGCCCTGGGCACATGGCCCTGCCTCTGGGCAGAGACAGGAGAGGCAGGGACAGGGTGGTCCTTAACACACATGCTGCCTTATTCCTGCAGGAACTGTGCTGGGACTAAAGGACCCATTCACTGGATTGTTGGGATGTCTGCAACTGGTCTGCAAACTTCGTGCTTGGTTTGCCATGTTAAACCCTTATTGGGGCTTGATAAGGCTCCAAGTGCCTTTTTCTCAATATTAGAATCCTAATTTTTCCTTTCCATCCCATTTTTTTCTCATCAAACTGCTCCTCTTCAATTTCTTGATAAAGATAGGATTCCCATAATAATTCTGTCTTATTCTTTCTGGAATGTAAAGTTTCTGGGAGATCTTCTAGGCCATCCCAAAGCTGACAACTCTGAGCCTTTATTTCTGGATTTTGGAGGTGGGGGAGGAGGCTGGGAGGATCACCCCTGTGTTCAGCAAAGGGCAGTGGCTCCCTGCTTATAATGGGGTGGAAAGTGCCCAGTTGTGGTGGCTTCAGGTTGTAGTGGAAGGAACTGGTGTCATCAGTGATCCCTTACTTTTCTAGAACATACTGCATGATGTTTAGCCTCACAGCAATCTTGCAACTTACTACCCAATTGGTGCTCAGAAAAGCAAGCTCAGAATGGCTATTGTATGGCCACCAATGGCTTACCAAGACCATGGGCAATTTCAGCTTTGACACCCAAGGCTGCCTGATTCAAGGCCTGTGTGGCTGGTGCTGCCCCCCAGCTTCCTGGCCAGTGACCCCCACTACCAGCCTATCAGGGTTGTCCCAGTGGCACTGAGTGGCCTCACAGTAAAGCAAGGTTTGAAAAGAAATGTGTATATGAAACAACCTTTTTCCTCTTAAAACCAGAAAGTCAACATCACATTGTCATAAAAGTAACAGGTTCCAGAACACACTGTAGATGTGCTTAGGTCCCTGAAGCCACTCAACTGTATCCATGTCAGTCTTGGGGAGGCAGCGTGGTGGCCTGCTACTAAGCCCTATTCCTGAAGTTATACATCCTCTGAAAGGGTAGGGCCTCATAGGCTAACTCATGTGACAAATATAAACAGTATAGCTGAGATTTAGAAATCTTAAAGCTGGGAGAAAACTTTGGAAAACTTTTGATTCAACCCTTTACTCAAAAAGTGGGGAAACTGAGTCCAGGTACTACCAGGTATCTTTTCCTGAGACATCCCAATAGGTGTTCTATAAGTCTAAATCACTCATAAAATGTCATCAGAACTGTAGCCTATAACTAGTGCTGCTTATATGGTCAGGGTGGAGACAGGGACATGCTGGAGGAGCCCCCAAAAGTCTGGAGTGGGGGTGGGAGGATGTGAGGTGTCGGGGTTCCCAGGGAGGAGGCACGGAAATGGCTCCCCTAGGATGAAAGAGCTGGAATCAGCTTGTGGCATGAAGACATTACAGGTATTATGCAAAATGTATTTGATGGTAGCACATGCCAAGGAGGGCTGGAGGGGGTTCGGGTGGGGGCACTAGGAGGGCAGAACCGGCTTGCCAGCTTTGGCTATAAATTTTGCACCAAAACACTGAAGTTAGAGTTCAAGGCAATTGCCTTTTACCAAAAGCTGGAAACATAAAATACTTCACCAATAAAGAGATGCTTCTGAGATTTCCATTCCCACTTCCTCTTCTACTCCCTGATACAATGATGCTCATTCAACCTCAGGCACTTTTCCCTCTTACTCAAGTCTAGTCCAATCCTAAATTCCTCTAATCTCTCCCAAGAGTCTTGTTTGTGTGAGTAGATGGGTGAACAGACAAATGGACCTGTTTATGATTCAATTATTTAGCATCTACTGTGTGCCAAATACCATACTAGGCAGTATATAGATACTTTAGCTTCTGGAAGATGCTCATATTAATTTCCTTTTTTATCAAAACCAATGTGCAAACTTGTATGTGTATAAGAATCATCCGGAGACCCTGACAAGATCGTTGCGCTTTTCCCCTAGAGTTTCTGACTCAGGCCAAGACTTTGCATTTCTAACTAGTTCCCAGGTGCTGCTGCTGGTCCCGGGACCCCACATTAAGATCCACTGTCCTAGTAAGTTTGCTGACCACCTGAGCACAGTCCTGAGACAGAAAGCCCACACAGGTTGACAATCTAACCTGTGCCATGTGGAAGCAGGACCTCAGGGAAGGTAGGCCCAGAGCTGGGAAGTGACAAACCTGCTGCTCTGCTGAGCTCATGATGTCTCCATTCAGTCCCAAGGTGGCTCCAGTTTTCACTCCTCTGAGCAGTGTGTGGGTAAGCGTGGAGCTCACAGAGGACAGGTGTCCTCATAGCCATGCCTCTTAGGACAGAAGGGGTTCCTGGCCCCCTGGAGGTAGCAGGACCACTGAAATCCAGGCAGATCCTGCCTGCCTCCATAACTGAAGGCTGAGGTCACTGTCTGTGGGAGAGAGAAGCTTCAGCAATCCTTGAAATAAATGAATGAGTCAGATGTGCCTCTCTGTTCATTAAACTATATTTCTCCTACAGCAATCCATGGGGTGGCTCTATTTCTGTAATTCAAGAGCCCTGGGAGAGATGACGCTACAGAGGCCCTGGTTAAAAATCACCACAGCACAGTAATGCCAAACTGTCTCAGCATCAGGTATAGAAAGGGGGACAAGGCTGAGCTGGTAGCCAGATCAGAGCCAGCCTAACTAACACACCCCCCCAGAGCATCATGAGGTATTCAAGGACATATGCATGGAGGCCTTCCCCGGGAGGGGCTTCAGATATGCTGTGAACATAAGGCCAGCCTGCTGGGTACATCAAATTACCATATCAAAGGAAAGACACTTTTTCCCAAGCCAATAGCAGACAGCAGTCCTAGGGCCCTTTGTAATGGTTGTCAGACAAATCAGACAGGGTGCCACTGCTCAGGGCACAGACACTGCATGGTGGAAGAGAGTCTTAAACTGCTGCTTAAAGGTGGGCAGGATGGGCCTAAGTGGAAGACAGTAGGGAGGAACACGAGGCGTCCCTAACAAAGAGCACTGCCAAAGCATGGGCTCTGTGGAGGGGAAGGGCAGAGCTACCCCAGGCCTGATAGGAACACTGATAGATTAGAGATCAGACACTGTATTGACAAGGACAATAACGAATGCTTGAGTATTTACCATGGGCCAGGCTTTGTGTTAAAGGCATTCAGTGTTCCTAAAGAGCACTCAGGTATCTGTGAATCCATCTGGCTCTGTGCTTCAACACATAGTGTGGTACCGAAGATGATTCCTGATCATGGCCCTGGGCAGGTGCAGGTAAGAGGTGGCTACTGCTATACCTTCTCAAAGACTGAAGTCCAGACACTCGGGTGTGGCTCATCAAAACATAGGAGAAACAATAGTCCAGCTCAGCTAGCAGTACAAATTAACACTTTTTTGTTCATCAAAGTACCAAAGACTAGAAAGAACAACTGGTGAGGAGGTGACCTTAAGCTCTGCTACTGGGAGTGAGTATTTAAAAAGTATTTCTGAAAAGCAACTTCACAATATTTACCAAGAGCTTTAAAAACATGTATACTTTGACTTAGTCCCTTTCTGATGAACCATCTTTAGAAAATAATATAAAATATAGACTGTAATAATATGCCTTGCAACATTATCTTAATAAATAGTCTAATTGTCT